TTCATGCTGACATTCACAAGCGGGTAACGAGCATGCTAGTTCACAGGAGGGAGACTTTCGCAGACAGGTATATTCCAGGTAGCTTTAGTCACATGTCTTAGATTAACCAGTTTACTGCTTATTTTGCTTACTCTTCAATGCATTATTTCCATCTGGTTATTTCCATACTCCATTTCTGGAGGAAAATCAAGCTACTTTGTGTGTTGCAAATTTAGGATTTAAAAAATAAAAAAAGATGGCTGGTCAACCATCTATCTGTGTTGGACGCTGTATTACCTCTGTCAGAATTTAAACGATTGCTGGATCCAATTTTGGAAAGTGTTTTTCCCATGAAGCTTTTGCTTTGCGTAGTGTAAAAGATGAATTAGACTTGGTGTCTTTGCTCTGTGTGTGGTCCCAGGCTATATTTGCTGTGCACTATTGAGATTGCTCTGAAAATGGAATCAAATTCCTCAAAGGTTGGTTTTTTTTTTATGGTGCCTATCATTCTCCTACTTGAGTTTTGCACAAATATTAACATCCAACATCCTTCAGGGTCTTGAGAATGGCAATGCCACCTTGTCCCAGATCTCATTGGCCACTGGTGGGTCATAGGACATCCTTGAGATAATCCCTGTCCAAGATTGTAGGAACAGCTGTCCTGGGTCAGACCAAAGGTTCGTGCAGCTTCACAACCTGGTTTCAGCATTGGGTAGTAATGATCATGAAGGCAAAAGCATAAAAAGGAGTAGCATAGCAGGTAGTGATGTTCTCTCAGAATACTCTCCAGCTTCTGACAGTCTGCAGCTCAAGAATTTCCTGTGTCGAAGTGTCTTTGTATTTAATGGTCCCTTATGAATTTTTCTTCCATGGTTTTGTATGGGTGCATGTATCGTTTAGCATCCCTAGTGTCCTGCATTAAGAAAGGCTGCAAGTTTAACTACAGCCTCTATACCCCATTTCATTTATTTTTAGTCTACTGATATATAAGTTAATATAATTCCCCCTGATTCTTGTGTAGAGGTAGGAATAATCTTTCTTTACTCACTTGTAGGTTAGTCATGATTTTACAACCCTGCGTTCTCCTAGTATTCCTTTTTCTCCTAGGGGAAATTGTACAAAAAATTGTACAAAAAATCCAGTCTACCTAGTAATCTTCTTACACAAACTATTTTGGAAATCTATCAACTTCACTTTGCTAAAGCAGACTTTAGCATTGGGCTTATCCTTGTCTTTCTGTTCAGTGACTCCTTCAAAGACCTCTAGTGGGTTTATGAGGCACGACTACTTTCTACAGAAGTCGTGTTGACTCTTCACTGTTCTATAATTAACCTATGCCCACTACTCTGTTCTTAAGAGTTTCTACCAACTTGCCCAGTACGGGTCTCTCCTGTGCTGTGTAGATCATCACATCTCATAAGAATTTGAAGATCTGTTTGCTACCTTTTCTCTCTTTTACACTCATGCAGTTTTAAGCAATAGCTTTTACATCACATTTTCCTTCCTGAGTCAGCACTCTGATGTGAATATTTTGATATCCAGTGAGCTACAGAAGAGCACACAATCTTGACTTTACAGTTGCTACTTGAGGAAATGCATGAAAGCCCCTGACAAACCTGTGGGAGCTTAATAGCCCTTAGTTAAATTGTGTCTGCTTAAGGTCAGATTTTCTGGGTTTAGCTTCCATCCTCTGGGTGGTGTTTTGCTGTTGACCAGTAGACTGAAGGACTATCTGCTGTATCTTTTGCTCAGGAAAAGGGATTCATGGATTTTAGGCCAATATCCTAGCCTCTTGGAATGAGCATATATAATCACAAGAACAAAAAGTGAGCAGCTATCTTTGCAATCGTCTGTTTCCTTTCCAGTTGAGGTCATACTATTGGACTCCTTTGGAAACAGAGCCACCAAGCCTCTACACTACAGCTCTGGCTGCTTCTGAAGCCTCCATGAGAAGGAAGGGCTGAGAGCTGGTCCCTTCTTTCATAGAAAGGAGATGACTAGTCTAAATAGTCACTGAAGCTACTACTGCTGTCTCAAAAATATCTGACAAGGGATGAATGCTGGTTTTGCTGGGATGGAGGACACTAAAATGAGGATGGAGACTGGCAGAAGGGGAGCTCTTTTTGTTCTGAGAAAGGATTTTTGGGAGTTAGGATGTTTGGCATGGGTGGTAGTTCTGTTGGTATGTGGACAATCAGTAGGTTGGTATACAGGAGTTCAGTAAAATTGCATATGTGGCTTTCCAGCAGTGAGTAATTTCAGAGTTGTTATATGAGGCTCTGAAAATCTTCTTTCCAGTGTCTGTTCACTTCTTATTTCTTCTCTCTGTGCTCTGAACTTTGGAAAATTTGCTGCATAGGGCATGGTAAATGGTGAACAACCACATCTGACATTTAACTTGTTGATGAGTTTGCTTTCCTGGGATGCGAGTGCTGGATTCCCACTGCCAAGCAAAGTCCAGGTCTGTGACTTTCTGAGTGAGTGCTGTTCCTCCTCCAACTGACATAATAGCAACACATTTTCCTGAACCCATCATTGTCTCAGTGACCTAGGTACAGTCTGAACATCCCTAAGAAGTCAGACTTTTGTTGACATCTAAGTCTCTCCCTGCCCCTGCTGGAGTTGGCATATCTTGATCTTCTTGAGCTTCAGAGCTTGTGCAGAGCATGTGCTTATGCATCCAGGGAAATATAACTCCAATGAACATGTATATTGGTTTTTAAGCACCACAGTGAGTCAGCCAAAGTGGTTAAGCTTGCTCATTATGTGCTGGTCTCACTCACTTGGGACGATCATGTGTGCCTCACTCCTGTTCCTCCAGCTCAGGACTGCCATGTCCCTTGTGCACCAGCTCTTGTTGCCTTCTCTGTGTGGTGTTTGGGGACAGATAGGTCTTTGAACTGTGCAGTCTGATTGCTCTCTGAAGCCCCTCAAGTTGTGGTAATTCCAGTTTCTTGGGTTGAACCTGACCCCAAATATCTGTCTCTGTTTCCAGTATTGCCTGTTTATCTCTTGGCTCTCACTGGAACATCTCGTGTTTCTGTCCCCTACTTCAGCAGTGACAACAGGATTAAGAGATTTTTCTCACCCACTTGGTTTCAAAAGTTTAATACTTGCTGTGTGATTCACAATGATTCCTTGGTTCTTGGTTAGTTTGCAGGTCCCTGGATGATTTCCATGTGTTAGTTAATACCACTTGTGCTTAATCACAACTATGTGAGTGCACCTGGAGGGTGTCAGCTACTGTGAGAACAAATGCAGAAGTGCTGTGGCGTTAGGTCAGCTGAATTGTGCTATAACACCCATGTCTTGGTAGTCTGGATTGACTACAGAGATCCAGACAACTAGCTCAGAAATAGATGTCTATAAGGTATGTGAAGGACTAAAATCGCAGCTGTAGTGCTTGACTTGTGTCCTCCATAATGAAGATTATATCCCTTATAAGATTATGGTCTTACTTGAACAGTGGAGTGTTAGAAATGTCTGTCTTTTGTGAGCCAGGTAAGTTTTCATTTCGGTCACCTCCACCAGTTAAAATTCTTTACTTGTGAACTGGAGTGTGGTAGGCAGCGTGGATGCTTGCCATGTTCCTGGCACAGACTTTTCCCGTGTCTCTCTGCCAGCACAGACTGGCATGTGCTATGCAGAAGCACACACCTGGAAACACGACCACTGAGACCTGGTCAGATAATTCAGCTGTGAAAGAGCCATGCTTTTACTAGGAACCTGATAACGGTGCAGAGGTGAAGAATCTCACTTCCTACACTGCTGTGAGGAATTGCTTGTTTGGCTTTGTACCGAGCTACTAACTGGTGCCCGTCCCCGTCTGGCTCAGCTTGCTCAAGCACTGAGCTGGGCAGGGAAGGCGATGGAGAGTCGCTGCACCGCTGGTGGGGTGCCAGCAGCCAGACAGTCTTTGTAGACGTGCTGAAGAGATTGCTGCTGATTGCATCCCTCCCCATCCAGCTTTGCTCGTCTGACTCCCACACTCACTTTGCGGAGCAGCGTAGCCCAGTTCACCTGGCTGGGGAGAGGAGCAAGAACCAACTGGCTCTTCTCTTTGTCGATGTTGAACCACCTGTGGACTTGCAAGGAAAACAACGGGGTTTGGAGAAGGGGAGGCATAGTCTGAAAATGTTAACGTCGGGGCTGCGTCCAAATAAAGGTTTAGGAGGTTTCCATTTGTCTGTCTGGTTTTGGTATTTTTCAGGGTAGGGGTTGATGCACTGTGTGATTCTCACATGTTTGGCAATCAGGAGTGGCAATCCTGATCACTGTTGTGCAAATGCATGACTCTTCCCAGTTTGTTTGCAGCCCTCAAACCTTGTACCAATGTAAAATAACTTCTGTCTTTTCAAGCATCCTAAAGATACTAAGGGAGATAAATTTTGCAAGAGAAATGCTGTCTTGCCATGAAAAGTGAAACCGTTTGTCTCAAAACTTTGTGCCATTTTTCAGATGAATCACATATACACACATGCAAGTGCACTGCTGTTGCATTTGGCAATACATTTTTGGTTGACCTTTCCTTTATTTTTTCAGAAAGAAAATGTTTTCCAGCAGAAGTCATGCTTGCTCTAAAAAGGTGTTCGTTGATAATGTCTCCCTGTTGGTCTTCCCTGGCGATGTCTAGTGGTATGGCACCAGTGGACACAAAACCCTGAAAGGACGCGGTTAATGCTTTCTGGAGTTAGCACAGACTGTGACATACAGTGACCTGCAGCACCACAGAGTAAAGCAAATCTCTGTATGTGATGGTGAATGTACTATGAAGGAAACAAAACTGCAGGGTTGTAAACTTGTCCTCTTCATGAAGTTGAGAAACCTTCCCGCCCGTGGTTGCTGGTGACAACACACACGCGTTTCTTCTTTCTCCTCACAGTCTGCTACTTTGCCTTGGTGTGTGGTGGAGATGGGATACTAGATCTAATCAATCTGTATTGATTAATCTTCTGAGCTGGTAATGTACCCTGACCAGCAGCTTTCTGAATATCCTTCCCTCCGATCGCCTTTTCTCTACCATGACTGCCGTCTTCCATAACTCACTGCTTTTTCTACTTCCTTTCAGCTTGACCGGGAAAGAAGCTCTGACCCACTTCCCATCCCTGGGACCCTCCACAAACTCTGCCCAGGGGAAGGTCCATGTGAAGCAATGTGACTTGCTGAAGCTGTCCCGCAAGCAGAAGAGGCTTTGCCGGAGGGAGCCTGGCTTGGCAGAGACCTTGCGGGATGCCATCCGGCTTGGGATCATGGAGTGCCAGTACCAGTTTCGCAGCGAGCGCTGGAACTGCAGCCTGGAAGGACGGACCAGCCTGCTGAAGCGAGGTACAAGGTAGTCTTTGGTTTACAGTATAAAGTCTCGCTTGGTGCTGTAGCCCTTGGAGTACGCATCTCAAATTAAGCCAAGGACACAGGGCGGTGACCAGGGAGCGCAGAGGAATGGGAGCTCTGCAGTTTGGGCCCTTTTGCTACAAAATACGCTTTATCCTCATCTTTCCTGAGCAGTTTGTCACGGATTGAAAAGTAGAAGGAAGTTCACACCCTTGGTTTGTCGATTTTTGTCCGAGAGCAGAGTTTGCTAGGCTGACCATGTTCCTTGGCTGGCAATCAGCATGAAGCTGTGAAAAACAAGGGTTAGTGCTTGATGTCAAGGGACTTTTTAAGAGACTCTTTTTAGCTCTTTGGATATTTTTGTACATAAGTCTCTGTTGTTCTCAGATACAGAATTTAATCCTAATTTACTGTTTGAAAAAACTATTTGTCAGCATTAAGGAATTTCAGTAGATGTTTACAAATATCTCCTAAGACTCGTTCACATATCTTTGGAGTTTCTGCAGAAGTGCAGACAGAGTGGACAGAAGAGCTCCTGGCTTCTGTTTCACAGAAGGCTTTAGAGAAAGAAAATGTTCTGTAAATTCTATATTTGAGGTAACAGAGAGCATAATAAATCCTTTAAATTGTAAGAGTTTGAGAAGAATAGAATGAAGATAGACCCTGAAACTATTTCTTACTAAAAGTTCCCAGAGCGTGCACATGCACTCAGCTGAACCTGTACTCATCCAAACAATGCCTGACCAGGCTATTACGGAGTTTCAGCCCTTCAGTAATGTTTAGTAGCATTTACTCAGTTTTGGTCTTCAGTACGACTGAGTTTCAGTCCTTTGATAATGTTTAGAAAGTTAATGTCTTAAAAAAACGGACTGAATAATCCAATATTAACTTTTATGAAATTAAAAATGTTAATTTTAATTAGCATTGGGATTGAAACTTTTTAAAATTTCCATTTAAAACAGTCAGATTTTATTAAAGTAAATGTTAAGTTAATATCTTAGTAAACCAGCACATACAAGATCAGATTTACTTAATTGCAAGGCTCTATTGTGGATTTTTTAGCACACTGTGGAAGAAGCTGTTCGTGATCATTTTGAATGACTTTCTGACATCTGTACCTTCATCAGCCTCAAAGAACTTGAAAATGACAATTGAATAATCCTCATCTTCAAATAGCTGGAAAACATTTAATTATCTCCTGGTGGCATGCCTCAACATTTCCACAGACTCCTGACTGACAAAATAAAATATCACCTGTAATTTAAAACCTGTTTTGGCAGATGAGGCTAAGTGTTTGAAAACTTTTATTACACAATCCTAAGGATCAAATGATGATTTAATACAGAAAAGTATGCTATATACATCTCCTACGTGAAAGGACAGTCGGCTGGAAGCAATTATTAGTTCTCATTTTCCTTTAACTTGCAAATAGGTTAGTTTCTTTCACAAAGAACACAAGCACTTTCAGCTGCCACTTTTGATCTGTTTCTCACATATTCATACTGCTGCTTTGTTGCTGCCTTGGAAATTGTTGGTCAGACAATGGACGATGCTCCTTTTGCCCAAGTGGTGATGAAGAGTTTTAGAAACTGTTAAATCATTTGATATTGCCATGGTCCTAGAGAAACCATAAAGAAAAACATACACTTTTAAACTGTCTTTAATGGTCTTATGCATGCAAGAGGGGGAAAAAGATCATGTCCCAGTGAGATGGTTCATTTTTGTAATAGGTGAAAAGCCACACTTAATTTGCAGTGACAACTGAATAACTGCTATGACTGATATGGATCACCTATGCTTTTCCTGCCTCTACAGATGCTATCATCTTTATTCCTGTATTTACATACTTCTAGTAAGCAAAAAAAAAGGCCAAGGGCTTTCTGGTTTTTGAAATGCCGAATTTATTTTCACATTCTGCACTATTTGTTGTTTTACATGGACACTCCTCTGGATACAGCTGGGAAACTCTTTTTGCATAGCCTACAATCCTCCTGTGACTGTAGCAGTCACTTCTGGTGGTCAATACTCTTCAATGATATATGTAAAATCCTTCTGCATTCCTCCTCCACTTCTTTAAAAATCCGTGAAAAGAGGTGGATTTAAAACTATTCTGGACAGACATTTCAAGCCATCTAGTTGCATGGTGGAAGTTGTCATTCTAAAAAGTTTGTAAAGCAATGATGGTCTTTTGGTTCTCCAAGGTGTGCCACAGAGGCAGCCAATTGCTGCTGGAGGTCAGGTAAGCAGTATTTAATCTCAAACAACATGGTGATTTGGGGAAAGTAAATACCTGTAGCAAAGACAGCTCAGATGCATCCACTCAGAAAAATCCTTCTTGAGAAACGAGCACTCTACAATCCTTCCCTCCATCAGTCCATTTCTTTGCTTCAGGTTTGTGAGATTCTTTGACCTTCAAGCAGTGGTTTCAGTGATGCTATGAGGAACCTAGGAATGGTACAGCACAGAACCAGTGGCTCAGAGACATAGAATTTCCATCGGAGATTTTGAGAACTCAGTTGGACAAAGCCCTGAGCAACTTCATCTCACATCGGAGTTAGCACTGCTTTGAGCAGGAAGTTGGACTAAAGACTTTGAGAAGTCTTCCATCCTAAATCTTTCTACAATTCTATAGCTTTCTGGCCTGCTCTTGGCCACTTGCTCTGAAACGTTCATACTGTGTTTCTTGTAGCATTGAAAAATCTTTGACCTTGAGCATCTTTCCTTTGGCAGAATCACCGTATGGCTAAACTCCTCCTATTATAGTTTTCCTTGTGGTCTAGAGTACACCACGCCACAAAACAGTGTCTTGCCATTGCAGCAAAGGTCTTTCTGTATTTATAGGCTGTTCAGCTAGAGAAGTAAGTCCAGATAGCTCCGGGGAAGACTTGGACACATGCAAGGTCCTACCAGGCAAAGCTGGCTTTCTTCAGTGTCTTGAAATTCAATTCTTTGCTGGATGTTTGTAATCAAACTGACAAGTAAAGACATCTGCATTTACATGTTTCCCCTTGCACTGAGTGTTTAAGATTTCATTATAGTCACTGGCAACTCAGTCAATGGGGTCAGGAGAGTGACTCATCCCTAAACCAGACCCTGACAGCCTGGGCATTGGCTCCAGGCTTCACTGGCTGTGGTGACAATAGCTCTGTTGACATGGTGGGAGGACAGATACCCAGGACACATGGAGAAACCTCCATTTAGATTTTCTCAAATCATGCTTGTTGGAGCTGATTGCTGCTCATTTGTGCATGTCCTACTGAAAATCCAGCTTCAGCAGCAGCTCTGTTGCTCATTGTTATTCCATAAGGGCTTAAGGACCATTCAGTTTTTCCTTTACTCATGTGATTCATGAATTAAACTATTAAATGGTGGTCAGTCCCTTATGACAATGTAGAATAAATTATCTTACACTTTTCAGACAAACATTTGGCAGTCTGGTGACATTGAACCTTTGCCATGAAAGGAGGTGGGAGGGGGGAAGAAGAAGGAGACTATTTGAAAGTATGCTCGTTATCTTCAGTTACTGCTGTCTGCAGTGGCCTGACCACAAGCAATGGTCTCTGATTTCAAGTGGGCTGAAATTTGGCCAGCACTTACGTGGAGCACCACAGAAGAAACCAAACCATCACTGGTCAGAAATAGCAGAAGCAGTGTGGTATTCCACAAAGTCAGATTTAGCAGGGTATGTGGAGTTGACTGGTACTCCTAGCTTTATATGGTATGGGAAAGCATTTCTAAAATGTCCTCCTCTCTTCTGGTATCAGCGTGTCAGATAGGATACTGGGAATCTGGTAAGCAATTGGAGATAAGCTACCAGAATTATTTCTCAGATTTAGGATCTCAAATGTATCTTATTGTCTCTTAGATCCTCCTTTTGGGTTAGCCACTGTTTGAAAAGTGCATCCTGTTGCTATCCGTAGTCTGTGTTGACTGTGTCCCGTATCAACTGGATTTGGTTACATTTTTTCATTATTCTTCCAGTACCCTGAGAGATGTTATAGGGCATCATCAACCAGAGATGCTAACAAGAGCTTAGTTGCAAGTTACTTGTCCCAGTGATACAGCAACTAAAATGGTGCGGTAGGAAGCAGTTTGTTGATTGATCTCCTTGACCTCCTCCACATATTCTTGACTCTCTCATCCATGTCCGCTGTTGCTAGATCTTTCCTCTAAAATTCTGGAATTCCAGTGAGCTCCTCTGAAGTCTTCCCTGAAGTTGCTAATGCAGCCTCTCCATTATGCTCATGATTAGTCAATTTTTCGTTCTTCTCACTGATAGCTATCAGAAGAACTCTTTGTCCTGTTCTTTGGTCAGATTTATGGTGGCTTCACCCGGATCTCAGCAACCAGTGGTCTGATCTGTTATTACAGGTGGATGGGAATTCTTTGAGGGAACAAAATGATGGAAAGGTTTGAGGTTGGACTGGATGAATTCTAGATGTCCCTTCCAACTTCTGCTCAAAGCAGGGCTAACTGCAAGACTACATCTGGTCTCTGCAGTTCTCCCTCTCTCTTAGTTTTTTGGGGGAAACAGATTTGTTTCCTTGTGACGTGGGAGGAAATTTGGCATTTTCCAATGTGGAATATTTGTTTGCTTCAACGTGTTTCCTTCCATCAAATGTGAAAGTGTTCTATTTTTCATAAACCAAAGTGTTTCTGTTTTGGCCAATCTTATCCATTCTGGCACTCTGAGCTGTTGATCATTCACCCATCTTTCTCTTCCTTGCTCTACTTCCTAAACTGTGGACTTGTTAAGCAGTTTCCTATAAATAGTTTTAATTTCTGCAAATAAACTCTGGAGGAAATGTTAAGATTTTCCCCTGGATTAAATAGGAGAGGAAGTAAATAATCAAACCAAAGTATTTTGTGGTTTAGGTCAGATTTGTGTCAGTCAGTGTTTTCTGGAACTTCTGTGGAGCTCACGGGTGCCGTATCAACATACCCATTCCTATCTGATCCCGTGTCTTCAGACTGAATTTCTATTCATGCACTGTACTTTGTTTCCCAGTTAAAATGTTGTGGTGTGTCATGATCATATACCTCCAGGCAAACACAGCCAAGCTGGGAAGCCTGCTTTAGGAAGGAGAATAGCTTCAGAAAGCATCACCACAGTCACTGGGAGTGCATAATTCACAGGGAAGTCAGCAAATCCACTCATGTGCAGGAGAGTCTGTCCTTCTTGCCCAAGATGTCCTTTGACATGGAACCTTTCCCAGTCAAACTGCGTGTGATCTTTCCATATGAAATACTACTATACTGGGCCAACACAGTTGTAATTAAAAACATTTTAAAATGACAGGTCAGATTTAAAAAATATTTTTTCAGTATCTATTAAATATTTCCTGAGTTTAAGCCACAACATTTCAGGGATGGTCTCTACTCACACCTATCAGCTCTGTGGTGAGGATGAGGACAAATGGAGTTTATGTTGCCAGGACTATTTGGCTGTTGCCACCCATCCCTTGATTCATGAATGGTCTCCTGTCTCCATATTGAATCAGTCACAGCCACCAGGTGAGACTGGGGTGTTACTACACTAGTTACTTCAAACTTGATATTGAGATTCTCTACTAGGAATGGTGAGCAGGTAATGGAAGGGTTTTGTCTCTTTATACTTCTAAGTATTGTGCTTGGTTTTAGTTCACGGACAGTCAGGACAGCCAGTGAGGTGGATAAAGACCTTATTTTGCCTTTCCTGCTCCTACCCTTTCCTAATCCTTCTCCTGTGCAGGTTTTAAGGAAACTGCCTTCCTCTATGCAGTGTCCTCTGCAGCCCTCACCCACTCCTTGGCCAGAGCATGCAGTGCTGGGCGCATGGAGCGCTGCACCTGTGATGACTCCCCGGACCTGGAGAACCGCAAGGCCTGGCAATGGGGCGTTTGTGGAGACAACCTCAAATACAGCACCAAGTTCCTGAAAAAATTCTTGGGTCAGAAGAGGATTGGCAAAGACCTGCGGGCCAAGGTGGACATCCACAACACCAATGTTGGCATCAAGGTGAGGAGGTGCAGCAGCAGGCCTAGAAAGAAGTTAGGACTCAATGCAAGTCTTCTAACCCATCCTCAACTGAGGCTGTTTGTGAGAGTGGTATTCACAGCCCGTACTCACAAACTAGACCTGTTTACCTGTGTGTTGTGGACCTTATGGTACTGAGAGCTCCCTGTAAAGTCTTCTGAACTCTGGTATCAGGAGCTGCAGGTCTGGAGTGGCAGAGTAGCATCCTGTATCCTCTGGTGGTATCAGAGGCTGAGGGACAGCAACATGCAGCACTGTAAGAGCTGTAAAACTCACTGGCTGAATTACTTCATGGGTTATGCCACAGCCACAGGGAGTTTTGAGAACAGCTAGAGCTTCAGAGCTGGTGTGACATGTGAAGTAGATTAAGGGTTGACACTCTTGAGATCAATTACGAGTCTGCTGGTGATTTGCTATGGAGCTAGCCATGTTTGGGTCAGGGAGACCATTCGATCAAGCATTCTGGCCTGTATGGTACAGGCTACTGACTTATCATTGTTTTCCATTTACTGAGTCTAATTACTTATTTGATTGGAGCACTGTCTGGATTTCAATATACCAAACGGAATCCACCATGCTGGAGGTACTCAGTTTCATGGCTGACTACTCCTGCTATTCCAAATAGGCTTAGTAAAAAATTATTTAATATTCAGTATTTGGCCGTTTGTCCTTATTCAGGCTTTCTACTCTCTGGCTCACCAGTCAACTCTGTAGCCATTCATCTGTTCTGCTTCTCTTTTTTTCTTAGTTTCTCCTCCCTAAAATAGGAATAATACCAATAAAACCAAAATACTTCCAGGCTGTCTGCAATCTGAGGTGTTAACTCTATTCAGAACTAGGCTCATGGTCCTGGCAGATAATGACTACCACTTCTCTTCCTCATCAGGCTGTGAAAAATGGTCTAAAAACCACATGCAAGTGCCATGGTGTCTCTGGCTCATGTGCTGTCCGGACATGCTGGAAGCAGCTTTCGCCTTTCCATGAGATTGGACGACTGTTGAAGCTGCGCTATGATGATGCTGTCAAGGTCTTCAGCACCACCAATGATGCTGTGGGACACTCGGAGCTGGCTGGCCCACAGAGACACAGTCACTCCCCCAAGCACCCCTCTTCGCCCCGCTCTACTGACCTGGTGTATGTGGAAGACTCCCCCAGTTTCTGTCGTCCCAGCAAATACTCATTGGGAACTGCTGGGAGGACTTGCTCTCGGGAAGGCAACTGTGACAGCATGTGCTGTGGACGAGGCTATAACACCCAGAGCCGGCTGGTTACCTTCTCTTGCCACTGCCAGGTGCAGTGGTGTTGCTATGTTGAGTGCCAACAGTGCATGCAGGAAGAGGTCGTCTACAGCTGCAAGCAGTAAAGTCAGTGCTAGAGAGTCAAGACAAGTCCTAAAGTACAAGAAAGCAGTAGGGAGAGAGAGATATGATTCCCTGCTGTAGGGTGAGGGCAAAGGCAAGCATCAAAAATGTCCAGTGCTCCTATTATCTCAATGTTGAGATCCTCCGATCTGGGGAGAGCCCCTGTGTGAGGGGTGAAAACCTGTGGTTTTTTTCAGGTATCAGATCAGGAAGGAGGGAGAGAGAGTGGGGTGATGTGGGGACAGCAGAAACACTGAAGCAGTCAAAAATATCTCTCCTGAGCTAAAACTTGTACTCTCATCTGCTGGAATATCCCCCTCCTCCATCCCTCACTTGCACTTATGTAAATGTGTTGGGGTGGTGACGCTGAAATACTGGGGGCTTGCGCTCTGGTTCGTGGAGAGAAGAGAATTAAGGGACCAGGGAGGCAACTAACCAGAGACTGGATCCTGGTGGAGCAGGGACGGCCGCGTTCCTGCACCACGGCAAAATGACTCTGGCAACAAGGGGTTTTTAGTGCTGATCTCTGGGAGCTGGTAGAATCCTTTCTGCTTTGAACACAAAGACACACTGTTCAGTAGTCTCATCTTGATGCAAGAATTGTGCCTCAGAAATACCAGTTTACAAACAAATGGACCTCATGTCCATCATCTCACAGGTCTATAGCTTGGATGTTCGACTCCAAGTGCATTTTAACCACATTTTAACCTTGCTGTACATAGGAGACCTGGGACTGCCTCTGTTACAGTGCATGTATCACAGGAACTCAGCTAGATCTGTGAAATTACCCCTCTGCAGCATGCTGTCTCGCAGGGGGTTATTTTATGGTGGTGGATCCAGGGTGATGGTGCCAATCATACATTTCTTTCCCCCCACTCCCAATCAAACTATCCATCGCCTTTTTGTCTTATGTGTATCACTTTTTTCCCTGATGCCTCAGGTGCATCACATCCCACAGTTCTGCCCCATGCTAATGACAATTAAATTTCTGAAAGGGAACTAAGAATCACAGGAACTGGGGCATCTTAAAAAATTGCAAGCTGTGAGTGACATTCTCTGCACTGAGAAGTTAGATATATCTAGACAATGCTGGCAGCTGGCATGGGATTAGGTGACCTGGGGGAAAGAGCACAGCCTATTACAGAGTTGTGATCCCTTGACCTTGAGTCATGTTTTTCTAGTTAACTTTAAGTTAATCACAGCAGAAATAGGCAGTTTTGTTTCTCTGGTTGTGTCTTAGAGAGCAGCTTGGGAATGGCAGTGAGACTGTCCCTGACCTGGCCACTGGCTACACACAGAGGGGTGCAGCACAACCTGTCTGGGTGTTCAGCCGTAGCACAGTGCCTGGCAGTGTATTTGCCACCTTCAGGGCTCTTGCTGGTTAATCCTGCAGCAGCAGTTAGAGCGTTTGTACTGTGAGCAGCTCCAGAAAGTCCCTGACATAATCAAGCTGCTGTATTTACTCAGTCTTGGTAATGGCTATAAACCAGCAAGCAGGGTGATGGTGTGGAGATGGGCTGGTGCTGAAAAGAATATTTAAGTGCTTGAGCTCAGATCAAAATTAATTGGCAATGTAATGGATGAAGGTGCTGGTTTGGGTTCTTCAGATGGACTGAGCCATAGGCTGAACTGGGCAAGCTTTCAAAGGGATTGAGTTCTCCTGACAAGTGTTGAGATCTCACTGTGTGCCCCAGCTCTCTAGTGTGGATGTGCTGAAGACAGGCAGCTCATCCATTTGTTTACATATGCTTTCAATAATTGCTCTGCAGCGATGAGTGTGTACTCACACTCTCTTTATCCTGGCCTTGTTGCCCTTTGCTTTTTATAAATTTTTTTTGATTTCTGCTTCATAAAAGGATGGGAGAAAAATGTTTTGGAGCACATCTAGCTATTAACTGGCTGTTCAGAGGCCACTCACACCTTCCCTTTGACTATATACAGATCTTTAAATGGGCTTATTCCTTTTTATCCTTTTTCTAGCTGAAGTTGACTTGAACCAAATTCAAGTGCTTGTGACAGACATAATACTGCAAATTGCATTAATTGGCATTGTTTTTTTTTACCTCCTAAATACCCAAGTAATTAATATTGAGCAGACCATTATTTATACATTGCTTTTAATCTTTTTGGAGTTGGAGTCTTCCCACGAGTCTCAGTGTTGAGCACTCCATGAGAAAACATCCCGATGAGTTAAAATTGTTAGGAACAGGCATCACAGGTGAAGCGACAAAGGAACTACCTCTAACTTACAATATTGACCCCAAGGCACCTGACACACTGACCTCCTGCCTTGTCCAGCATCGGAGAGGAAGGGAGTACCACATCACAGGAGGGTTATTTGGGGATCCTGTGCCATTGCATGGAGCATTCTCATTTAAACAGGGACTGGGACTTGGTAGGAGGAGGGGACAAGCACAGTTTTGGGAAGCAAGTGGAAGACACACCACTCTGTCCTCTTGCTTTTGTCAAAGATGCATTTCTCAGTTGTCCACTGGCCAGTAATTTCTGGGCATGCACAATCCGTTCTCCACAGCCAGATACCATAATTTGAGGGCAGCTAGGATGCTCCTTGGTGGTGGAAAGTGTTCTTGACGGTCTCATTTCTTTTTATTTTCTCTTTGAGCTAGTGTTGATGAAGGGAACTAAGGGGGTTCCAGCAGACACATCACTGCAGGTTGGGATTCATGAATCGAGCAGATCAGGCAACAGGACTTGCCTAAGCTCACTGCAGGAAAGATCTCAGGATAGAACTGGTTTTCAATGGCTTAGTAAGTTCTGTCTCTAGCTTTGCCATGAAGTTTTCTGAAGATGAAAAAACACTTCTCTAACCTCTTATTTATGTTATCTGGATCAGTGTTACCTGCTTACAGCTAGATCCCAGTGAGGGGTTATGAATCTACTCTCTCGTTTCTTAAAAGAGCACGCTGTTTATGTCACTTCGAATGTTAGGTCTTCTCTTAAGGGCTTTGTGTTCACTGAACTCCAAGTGACCCTGCTGAGCAGTGTTGTGTTTGACTCTAGCAGTAGAAACTGTCAGGCTGCACACTGGGAGAAGGTCTATGAAGCTCTGATGTACTCCTGCCCTCCAAATCCAACTTGGACCTGTTGGAGAGGATCTGCCATCCATCTCGCATATAACTGAAAACCTGTTTTCTCCCTTGCCCAGTGATTCCAATAACAATAGAGGTTGGAGCTTGGCTGAGGTGGCTGTTGGGCTATAGGCTAAACACGAGCCTCCCAGACCTGGCTGGTCTTCGTAGGGCCCTTGGGGTATGCTCCAGGTACCTGCAGATTGCAGTTCAAAGTGAAGCTTTTTCTCTTGCTCAGACTCACTCTTCTGTACTATTCCTGTAAAAAAGAGAGCAGAAAAACGCACAAGAACAGACATGTAGGTACGTCTTGTAGTTGTCTCCACTGATCTGGTCCTGCTCTGCAGCGAGTGTGGAAGGAAATACATGTTTCTAACACCTTTCATTTTCCTCTCAAGAGCATTTAAAATTTGTAAGCTAGTTCTCCCACCCCAGAGGCAAGCCTGGCTTCCATATAGCAAGAAGTGTTATTTTAATAAGATTCTTTATCTGGCTTCAAATGTTTCAATGCTTTGAGCAGTAGGTGAATGCATTTCAGAGGCATCTTATGTGCTTTGCACAACGTACTCAGAAACAAGACCAGAAAGATGGTGAAATGATTATTTAGGCAGGGAAGAATACGGTCAGACTGGTAGAACTTGCAACTTTGGTTATTTGTGTCCTTAGCAGCTGAAACACTGATGTCAGTGGGAACTGAAGGACGGGTTTGTGGCAAAGGACTAGACACCTTCTTTTAGGCAACTAGGTCAAGCCCCTTCAGTGTGGATATTTTGGACTGAATTGATCCTTTGGCACTCTTTCAGGCAAAGAAGACACTTTTAAGGCAGAATTAGATACTGCTTTACAGCACTTGAAAAAGATCTTGGTTTTTGTGTGTGTAGCCCATGCTGTGTGGACATTCATGCTTTTGAGGTGGTGTCACCAAGTCCCTTGCCACTGAAAACACCGGCATCTGTGAAATGTGCAGGGATTACTTTTAGGAATGGAGGTTTTTAGCAGTGCTCTCTGTTACCGTTTGAGCTGTGATCTGTTGAAACTGGAAGCATCCATGCCATGCCATGTTTTTGTCCAGTCTTGCTGCCAGCAGCTGTGAGGTGGAGCTGCCTTTTCTCTTGAGTGTTGGGTTAGCGCAGTCCCATGGGGATCTCACAGGAACTTTATTAAAGTCAAAGCATAATGTAAACAAAGTAAAATGAAAGAAGAGCTTGTGCCTGGCAGTCCTGACAGCACACAGGAATTGTTGAATAACTGGATAAAAAGATATTTCAGGGGAAAATTAAGTAATGCTTTTTTTGTGTATCAAAGGGGACTTTTGCACCTGCAGCTCCTCTCTCTGCATTGCTCAGAACTGTTTGAGAAATGGTAAATATGGAGAAGATCTCAGGAAGAGGTGGTTCATTCTCTGATATCCTTGGGTTGAGTCTGGGTTCAGGGGAATATGGAGGTTTGGCATTTGGCTGAAGGAAATTTTAGTTGTTAGCTGTAAGCGAAGTCTGGACAAGGGAGTCTGATCTCCTCTGGCTTTGCTCTGCAAGCTTAACTCAGTGCCTATTTCAACTGCTCCCTGTCACAGCTGAAAAGCTTTCAGTTCAGCCTCTGACAGTCAGAACAGACAGCATCTCTCAGTCTAGAAACCAAACAATGAAAACTGATGGGAAATAAATAATTTTATAAACCCCATATGACGTCTGGTGAAAAGGCTTGAGTATATTTTGAGTTCAAGGCAATGTTGGTATCGCTTCTTTTGGTATCCTTCCATACTAAGCCTTTTAGATATGGTGCTATGGATAACAGACTGAAAACTTTGCTTGAGGCAGATAGCTGGTTTTTCCTTTTTTTTTTTTTTTTCATTTTCAGTTATCCAGGGCTGTTTTATCACCCACACTTCAGGTAAATTGGGTTGATATTCAGAAATGTGATTTA